TTCTTGCTTTAAGGCCTCACCTTTCTCATTATCTAATTCTTCAGTTTTGATGCCAATAGCTCCCTCTGGCCCTCCCTTAGCTCTGTGGCATTAAGTCTCTCTGGGACCCTTCAACCTGGTACTCCATACCTCTTGTGCCCTCTCACTTTAGGCAGCTTGCACTATTCTTGAATGAATTAAGAATTTCCTCATTCGGAAGTAGGAGGGGCTGAAGAAATTGTCCCCAGGTCCCGTGGGACTCAGGGTCCTCTTGACGTCCCCCTGGGAATATGAGCTCCCCAAAGCCCACATTCGGGATCACCCTCTAGGATGTGATATATCTCTTCCCTCCTCTCACAACCCCCAACACTGCTCTACTCTCTTCAACCCGCCAGTCTACTCAGTGGTGGTTCTTCTCTCCTTAGAGTGCCCCAGTTTTATATTCTCAGGGGCCAAGGCTAGGTCTGCAGTCCTCTGTCTCAGACACATTGGGAGCCACAGGTGCCTAACTGGGAACCAGGGCATGGGAAGGGGGTGGGTCAGAATTCTTCTCTTTCTCCTCCACCTCTCAAACTTCTTCCCTCTAGTGACCTTACTAGGCTCTCAGGGGCTCCTGCCGTCCCTGTCCTATGAGAAACTAGTGGGTTGCTGCCTGATGACGGGGGCATCTCAACCCCTCAGTCATGCTGCCTTCTTCTTCACTCCCAGCAGGATTCAGCCTCTCATTCCCGGGCTCCTAGGCCCTGTTCTTAGGATCAGTGGCAGGGAGAAAAGGGTGTCTCTTTTCTCTCTTCTAATTTTCAGTATAACCAAAAATTATCCCAGGATGAGCAAGGGCATGTGCCCCTCATGCCATTCCACTCTTGTCCCAGCAAGAATGGGATGGGTACAACTGAGCTGGGGGTCATCCTTACCTGCTCCCTTCTAGACTTAGCTCCCAGATATGGGGCAGGAGGGGGCACTCTCCTCCTGGCTACTGCAGAGACCCCTGGCTGTTTGGGTGCCCTAGTTAGTGAGAAGGGGGCAGGAGGAGATACAGCTCCACTGCAAGTGGTGGTCTCTTTCTACAAGAGTTCCCGGCCGTAGGCCACAAGCATCCCATTCTCTGCTTCCTTGAGATTCAAACCAAAGGCTGTTTTTCTATATTTAAAGAAAAAGAAAGTAAAAACCAAACACAACACCTCACAAGTTGTAACACTTGGTCCTTCTCTCTCTCTCCTTTTCTCTTCCCCTCCATCTTTCTTTCCACATGTCCTTTCCTTATTGGCTCTTTTGCCTCCTACTTTTCTCACTCCCTATCAGGGATAATTTAGGGGGATGGTAAAGGGTTGGCTAAGGAACAAACCCTGGGATTGGGCCCTTAAGGGTTCTAAGAAGAGTCTACCTTATCCTCATATGGGAAGGAGGACCCAGAAAATCTCTCTCTTCTTCCTCCTTTTTCTCCTCCATTACATGGTCTCCCCAAGAGAACCAGATTGTCAGGGAGGGGCGTTTTGGGTTGATTGTTTCTTCTTGACAATGTAGCAATAAACAGATGCTGCCAGGGGCAGAGTATGGGGGAGTTAGCTGGGAGGAGAGTGGTCTCTAGAGAAGGGGAGAGTCTTCTGAACAGCACCCCAGGGAAATGACTCCTTGTTTCAGGATGGCAGCAGAGCTGAGATAAATATCTGGGGTTCTCCTCAACTGTTCTGGTTATTGGGCCCCTTCCTGTTAGACCTGCCCCTACCACCTCTTCTATGTCTGCTGTGTATTTGGTGACACCTCATAAGGACTGGTCCCTTCTAGGGTATCAGAGCCTTAGGGTGCCCCATCCCCTCCCCTAGTCTGTTTTGGCACCTGTAACCTCCTGAAACATGAAGGACTATGCTCTGAGGCTGTACTCTGAGCCCATGAGAGCAGAGACTGGAAGGGCAAGACCAGGTGCTAAGGAGGGGAGAGAAGAGCACTCTGTCTCTCTCCAGACCATCACTGCACTTTAACCAGGGTCTAAGGTACAAAATCCTGCCTTCCAGAGCCTTCCAGCTCTGGAATCTCAAAACATCCTCATGCTCTCTCCCAGCTCCTTTTGCATAAAAAAAAAAAAAAAAAAAGTAAAGAAAAAGGAAAAAAAAATACACTGAAACCCACATGGAGATAAGAGGTGTTTTCCTTTTATATTGATATTCAAAATCAACTCCACACAAAAAAATTTCTAAATAGACATTTTTCCAGACTTTTGTCTTTTCGTGTCAGTGTGTAAGCTGCGGATGGGATTTTGTAATACTTCTGGCAGCTTCTTTCCTTGTGTACATAATATATATATATTATATATATTTTTAATCAGAAGTTACGAAGAACAAAAAGAAAAAACCCCACAGAAGCAAGTGCAATACCACCTCTCTTCTCTCTCTCCCAGGGTTTCATTTGTAGCCTATGCTTGGTGTCTCCTTGGACCTACCCCTTCACCTCTTCCTCTCCCGCTGTTTTCCCCCTCCTCCTTTTTTTTAAAGAGTTTTTCTCCTTTCTCAAGGGGAGTTAAACTAGCTTTTGAGACTTATTGCAAAGCATTTTGTATATGTAATATATTGTAAGTAAATATTTGTGTAACGGAGATATACTACTGTAAGTTTTGTACTGTACTGGCTGAAGGTCTGTTATAAATAAACATGAGTAATTTAACACCCCTGGTTGTTTTTGCAGACTTCCTTTGCCTTGCCTTTCTGCTGGGAGGGAGGGGGGCCTCCTTGCAGCATATTATACCAACTGCTAAACATTTTGAAGGTGAACAAGTCTAAGATTCAGAGAAAACCAAGCAAGAATGCTCAAGTTGTTGCTCTAGAAGAACAGAAGACTTTTCAACCTGGAATGGGAAGTGGAGGAGATTTTCCTACCAAGAGTGCCTTCGAGATAGAAGAGAAAGTAAGTCCAAGTTGCCTATCCATCCAAAGCAGGGCTTCATCAAACTTTTCTAAGTACCTACACCGTACAATGTGCAAAACACATTATATACCCAGGGAGATAACAAGTTACAATAACATGAATGATGATCATAATAGGGTCTACCACTTCTTGAGCATCTCATAAAGGCCAAGCATGTGCCAAGTATTTATTTAATTGTAGAAACAACCTACCAAGGAATGATACCATTACTAGTGAAGAAATAAAAGCCCAAGGAGAGAATAAAATAACTTGTCCGAGACCGATCAGCTAATAAGTAACAGAAGCCAAATTTGAACCCAGGGATATGTGACTCCAAAGTCTGTGCACATCCCTTTATGCCAAGGAATGCAGCCAGTGAAAGCCCCAAGCTACAAAAATCCAAGAAAAGCCAAGATAGGAACATTAAGTTGATTCTGTCTTCAACATTAACTATTTTTGTCCCCTTTACTCTAAACTTTACTCTGTTCTCTCCTATCTACCTCACTGCCATTGCATACGGGAATGTCTACCTTCTGTTTTCCATGAGATATTGAAGTGAAAATTGGAGACGCTTCCATCTAGAGCCTATCATTTTTCATGCCCCATTGAAATTAACAAAATTCAAGGTCAAAAGAGACCTGGGGTATAGTTTTTTGAAGCCAAAACAAAAATTAGAAAATAAATTTTAACTCCAATAAGATGAGTTAGAGGTTAAGAGAAACCATGGGTTGTTGGAGGGAAAGCAAATCTGGTATATTCTGACTCCAGAATGACTCACAAATGAACAATTGATCTTAGTCTGTACCATCTTAGGTCCAAATGCTGGGAGGTCCCCTTGACACCCTAGCTTCTTCAATTTTGGAGACAACTGGGTGGCTGGATGCCCACGGATAGCCACTCCTGCTCAAAGCTAAAGACTTTCTGAAGGCTCTTCAGAGGTAAATGGAGCTTATACATATGAAAGTATGTTTCAGTCAGGGGCCAGACTCATCAATGAGTGGTGAAATCACTTTATGGGACTTGATCAACATTTGTTAAAATAAAATAGAAAACATACCAGTGCACCTTATGTCCTAAGGGTAAGTATTGTTTCAAGAAGTTTGTGTTTCAGTTTTGCATGTGTGTGTACATGTGTTTGTGTATGTATTGAGTACCAATGTAAAATATACCTCTACTATGGGTCTGAGTCAAAATCGTTTAGTCACTGATCCAGGCTATATCTCCATCCATTTGTTTGTTAGGTAAGAGGCAGCATAGCATAGTGGAGCCTGAACACCTCTTACTAGCTCTGTGTGACTTTGGGCAAGTTATTTAACTTATCTGCACCTCAGTTTTTCAATCTGTAATGAGAATAATCATGGTACCTACCTTACAGGCAACTCAACAGTACCTAGTGCCTTACAGATGTTAACCTTTGTTGAGTTAATGAGTTAATAGCAATAAAGCCCTTACTACAGTGCCTGGCACTGTGCTAACAGAATCCAGGGATAAAAAGGTGAATGAGAAACAGCCCTAGCACCAATGCACTTGTCCATGGCCCCTCAGTGTGGGGTTTTCTCCATACTGGAAGCAGGAATTAACAAAACGTTTTGTTCCCCGCCCCCCCCCCCCCCCCCAAGTCTGCTGCTTCTCAGTCCTGCACCAAATAGCAGGATTGTCACAGAAACGAGCTGAGAGCGTCCCCCGGTGGCGGAGCGCCCCCTAAGTGCTTGGGGCCAGAGGCCTGGCAGCTTCGCACTACAACTCCCACCATGCATTTCTTTCCCTCCCGCCTCTAGCGACTCGCGGTCTTGCGGTAACTTCACCCCTACCGTCGCAAAAACCGGGTAATTATAACGCCCAGAATTACATCCGGGGTCGGGCGTCGCGATGCTTGCTGGGAGACGTACAACTCTGATTTTCCTCCGCGAGCAGGCTAAATAGTCCCATGGTCACCTTGAGCCGCGGATAAATAAACTCGAGAAACGCCTTTCTACGCTAATGTCCAGCACGAACGCTGAACAATGAAGAAAATCCAAGTAAAGCAGGTTGCTATTCTTGGCGATGGAGTCTTCTATGGAGTCTTCCGGCGTGAGCGTAGGGATCTCGCGCTATATAAGAGAGCCGGGCCGGGCCTCGGATCCTCTCTCGGGTCCGCGTTCTCAAGATGGTGAGTCGTGTAGCGTGGTGAGCGCGGGGTCCAGGCTGAGGCTGAGGGGAGCAGATTCCGGGGTTGTGGGGATTTGAGAGCTGTGTCTGCGGCGGAGGAGGGGGCACAGCGTCTGTGTGTTCGGTCTCGGAGGGGGTCTGCGGAGGGACTGGAGACCTGAGTGGCGCCTTTCTCGGGGCTGCGGGCGTTGAGGTAGCCGGAAGGGGGCTGGGGCTGCTGAGTTGCGCCCTCTCCCCAACAGCGTCTCCGTTTCGACACAGACCAAGAAAAGAAGGAACAATGGTCGTGCCAAAAAGGGCCGCGGCCACGTGCAGCCTATTCGCTGCACCAACTGCGCCCGATGCGTGCCCAAGGACAAGGCCATTAAGAAGTTCGTCATTCGAAACATAGTGGAGGCCGCAGCCGTCAGGGACATTTCGGAAGCGAGTGTCTTCGACGGTGAGTGGGCTCCTGGCGCGAGCCGTGCGAATATTCTAGGACCCGAAACCTCCCCCGCCCCGCCCGCGGGCTGTTCGTGCGCGAGATTTGGGGTGTCCCGGGCATTTTCCATGTTTCTTTAAGGCTGTCGTCGGTGGGAGGGAAGGGCATCTTTGCTGTTTTGTTGGTAGTTTTGGACCTTGTGTGAGCAGAGGGAGGGTTTTGGAGTAGTGCGAAGTCTCTGAGTCTTAGTGACTGCCTGTTAGGGGATGGGATTCCAGAAGCACTTAGCTTATTCTGTGTCAACGCTTGGGGGCCCCTGGCTGTAAACACGGTAAATGGAATGAGTCTTTTGAGTTGTGGAAGAACGTTTGAATACGCGTTGTGAAAACGTAAGGACCAAGCCTCTTGAGGAATGTGTCAAGAACGGAGGCAGTCTGGTTTGGTCGACAAGGACCATCCGTGGAGCAATATGACGTCGTCTTGATCGTTTCTCTTTCTTGAGACGAGTTAACTCTGTTAGGCGACAAGAAAGGACTCAGGAGCAGGCATTGGGGCTGTTGCAACTGCTGAAGGACCTGCATTTTTGGTTTATTACTTCTAGGGTGTGGATTTGGTCCCCATGATGACGGGATGAATTCGTAGGAGAATGTTACTCATTTGTGAAACTGCGTGTGTATTTAGGTATCAGAAAGTGAACAGTTGACTTGAGAGCAGGGTTTTGTCGATGTGCCTGACAGACGTTTAAGTAGGTTTAATTTTGAATAACAGAATGAGTAAGGAAGAACGGTGCAAGGTGGGTGTATAATACCTAATATTATGCCTCTTATTTTTCTGTTTTTTAGCCTACGTGCTTCCCAAGCTGTATGTGAAATTACATTACTGTGTGAGTTGTGCCATTCACAGCAAGGTAGTCAGGAATCGCTCTCGTGAAGCCCGGAAGGACCGAACACCCCCACCCAGATTTAGACCTGCAGTAAGTATCTTAAAAAGGAAATGTAGAAGCCAGAGGGTATGTGAGGTTACAAAGAATATCACGTTAAGGTGTCTGCCTGTGGGTGAGATCAACTAAGTGGTGAGGCTGGTGGGACCCACATCTAAAATGTTTGCTTAGAGATACTTCTAAAGAAGAGTTGTTAGACTGTTTCAGTGGGAGTAGGGTGGTGTCCTTCCGCATCTACCAGTTTTCCATGTGTTTATGGCCCAAATACATTATTAGTGATGGAAGGGTAGTGGTAAAGTTCTTTAAGGGGGAGTCTTCCATCGATGGTTTTTAATTTACTCTCATTTCTTCATTTTTCAGGGTGCTGCTCCACGACCTCCGCCAAAGCCCATGTAATGAGCAAAGTCCTTAAGGACTGAAGGAGAAGCTCTCTCTCTGGAAAATAATAAAATGGAAATTACACTTTATATAGTATGTCGAGTGTATCTGTGGCCACATTGAGTGACGGTTGTGTGTGTCATAGGGATCGTAATTACTTTTGCGAAGTATTCAAGTGTGGAGTGCCACATAGTCTTTTCATGGGAGAGAAAGCTTATCCATGTAAGTTACACCTTAACTTGGGGGTTTTTTGTGTTTGCATCCTTTGGCTTTCCAATTTGCACGGATATGTAGAGTGAAAGGGCTTAAGTCGTCTGTGAGTATTAGGTTAATTCTCCCTGGCTAGTGGCTTAAGTAGGTGTCATAAAAATGGGAGAGAGGAACTAGTTGCGGGCTGGGGGTAAGGAAAAACTGGCTGTTGTTGAGTGAGGAGCACATCAGGAGGTGACTTAGACTGAGGTGTGCATACCCCTGGTGGGGGACACAAACACTTCAATAGAAAGTGCATGACTTGGGTAGCTTTTAAGGGGATCTGTATGTAGATTGTTAACCTTTCTTTGGTGCATTTGTCTGTGGAGTAAAAATACCCAGGACGCCAGAAGCATTCCTAGAAGCTTGGAGTCTCACAAGAGGAAAGGGAATTTCCACGCACAGTATGGAGGGGGGCAGTACGTTAGTTCATCTGTGTGACTGGTTCATTTGTCCTAGAATTCAGAAATTAGAAAGTTATCAGCTAGGGGTATATGCATTTATTTGAAAAATCCATTTGGGAATGGATTGGTAAGGACTGGGTTTGTTGGTTAGGTTATGTGATATATGTGGTTTTATTGTTTTTGTTTTCCTAAAACTAAACCAGTAGCTTGGAGGTTTTGACTGAAGTATACATGGTGCTGGGAAGTACATTTTTGTAAGTGTCTGTATTCAAAGGAATATCATAGGAAGAAAGAGGTGGAATATTTCAGAGCATAGAGGTGGTCTTGTTAATTGGAGAACAGTTTAAGTGGAAAAAAAAGCAAACCCAGATGGAAACCGTTGACCCTATCTTGCACCATGGTCAGCATACCAGTGCATGCGTTAGAACAGCTGTGGCAAATCATGAATTTGTCAGAACTAGGCAAGTGTCTCCATCCTTTAGGGAGGCCTACAAGACACCCGTGCTCCTTCATTCTACACTATAATGATCCCTTTACATCAGGGATAAACTCTGGATAGAAGGAAATCAGAGGTCCAAGGTAAAAATGAATGCTAAACCTGCTGGTCCCAAATTCCAGCTTGCTAAATAAAATCAGATTTAAGTAGTAAATCAGGCTCGTGTAACGGCTCCAAGATCTCCCTTGAAAGGTTTATTGTCACGGCCTGTCCTTTTCTCAGGGTGGGGTTTTGTTTTGTTTTTGTTTGAGGAAGACTGGCCCTGAGCTAACATCCGTGCCCATCTTCCTCTACTTTATATGTGGGACGCCTACCACAGCACGGCGTGCCAAGTGGTGCCATGTCTGCACCCGGCATCCAGACCTGCGAACCCTGGGCCGCAGAAGCAGAATGTGTGCACTTAACCGCTGCGCCACCAGGTCGGCCCTGCAAATAGGCTTTTTGAGGGAGACTGAGCCAGTAGATGAAAGAACTAGGGCTAGAATCTAGATTGATTCGTTTATTTATTCATTGTTTCCCGTCCCCAAAGCCCCAGTACATAGTTATATATTCTAGTTGTATGTCCTCTAGTTCTCTGTGAGGCGCTGCCATAGCAGAGCTTGCCTTAACCATAGGCCATTAGGACTGGTTCTCAATAAGGGTTAATTGCCCATGTGCTCGGCATTTTGTTTCTGAGTCCAAGTCTATTGAACAGAGCCATCTGGTTAAGAACCTAAGAGGGCTGGTGCTGGCCCCATGGCCAAGTGGTTAAGTTTGCACGCTCCACTTCGGTGGCCCAGGGTTTCACGGGTTCAAATCCTGGGCGCAGACATAGCACCACTCATCAAGCCATGCTGAGGTGGCATCCCACATGCCACAAGTAGAAGGACACACGACTAGAAATTCACAACTATATACCAGGGGGCTTTGGGGGGAGAAAAGAAGAAAAAAACCTAAGAGGGCTGAATCCTGGATGTGAATCTTACCTCTGATACTTTCAGCTGTGTGACCTTGGGTAAGTTACCTAACCTGTCTTCAATTTTCTAATCTTTAGGATGTCATTTCTATTTCGTAGCATTTTGGTGAGGTTTCAGTGATACAAAACAGTCATTCAAGAAATATTTATTGGGCTGGCCCAGTGGCACAGCAGTTAAGGGCGCATATGCTGCTTCAGCGGACCAGGATTGCACAGTTCAGGTGCCGGGCGCGGACCTATGCCTTGCTTACCAAGCCACACTGTGGCAGGCATCCCACATGTAAAGTAGAGGAAGATGGGCATGGATGTTAGCTCAGGGCTAATCTTCCTCAATAAGGAAAAAAAAATCTTGAGGGGTCAGCCCTGTGGCCAAGTGGTTAGGTTCACACAGTCTGCTTTGGCTGCCCAAAGTTTCACCCGTTCAGATCCTGGGCGCAAACATGGCACTGCTCATGAGGCCATGCTGAGGCGGCGTCCCACATAGCACAACCAGAAGGGCCTACAACTAGAATATATAACTATATACTGGGGGGCTTTGGGGAAAAGAATAAAAAAAAATGCTTGGCAACACATATTAGCTCAGGTGCCAATCTTTAAAAAATAAAAAATTACTGAGTACCTACTGTGTGCCAGACGTTTCTAAATGCTGAAGATAGGAGTGACCAAGACCCTGGTCTCACAGGGCTTTGCGTTTTAGTGAGGGGGTGATCTGATGTGAGGAAGATGTGCAGTTTTGCATGAGGAGACATGTCTATAAGGTCCATAGAGAATTAGAAAACTAAAGAAAGTGAACAAGCAGCCCATTTAGATAAGTGGGGAAAGAGCTTTCCAACAAAGGGAATAGCAAGTACAGATGCCCTAAGGCAAGAGTATGCCTGGCATATCACGGAAAAAGCAAGGCGGACAGTGAGTGAATTCAGGTGAGCCAGGAGGAAAGTGGTTCAGGTCTGCAGTCCTTTGTATGAAATCCATCAGACCTTGAAATTGATTTTTCATTTTAGAACAGTAATACAGAGCATTTACTCTTTAATATGTAACATTCTCAGAGGGATCTAGAACAGCACCCAGGATCAAACACAATATTTCTGCAGCAAAATAGAATAATCACATTAAGTGGAAGCAATAAAGACTATAAATTATCTAACGCAAGTTTCACGTCAGGCTTTGCTGCCACAGGAGTTCCAAAAATCTTGATTTTTAGAGTTGTTTTGATTTTTCAGTTGCGGATAAGGGATCGTGTACCTGTGGCACACAAAAGTTAGAGAAGACAGGTCCAGATGACATGGGACCTTGTAGGCCCTCGCAAGGACTGGACTGCACTCAAGGTGTGATGGTAAACAATGAGATACCACTTCATGCTGTCTGGGATGCCTGTAACTAAAAAGAGCATAGCAAGTGCTAGTGATGATGTGGCGAAGTTGGAACCTCATACACTGCTGGTGGGCATGTAGAATGGTGCAGCCACTTTGGAAAACAATCTCGCAGTTCCTCAAAAAGTGAAAGCGTTACCATGTGACCCAGCCGTTCCCCTCCTAGGTATATACCCAAGAGAACCAAAAACACATCTACACAAAAACTTGTAAACGAGTGTTCATAACAGCATTACTCATAATAGCCATCAAGTAGAAACAACCCAAATGTCCATCAACATGTGAATGGATAAATGAAATGTGGTATATCCATACAATGGGTTATTATTTGGCCGTTAAAAGGAATGGAATACTGCTACATGATCAAACGTTGATGAACCTTGAAAACATGCTAAATGAAAGAAGCCAGTCATAAAAGACCACATAGTGTATGATTTCATTTATATGAAATGTCCAGACTAGGCAAATCTAGAGAGAGAATAGATTAGTGGTTGCTGAGGGATAGATGGCTTGGGGGAAAGGGGAGTGACTGTTAGATGGTATGGGGTTTCTTTTAGGGGTAATGAAAATATTCTAAAATTAATTGTGGTGATAGTTGCACAGCTCTGTGAACATACTAAAAACCACTAAACTATATACTTTAAGTGGGTGAATTGTATGGTATGTGGACTATAGCCCAACAAAGCTGTTACGAAAATACAATAAAGTGTGATGGTAATTCCCTGGAGAGTTTTGAGCAGAGCAGTGACATGATCTGACTTAGATCTACAGTAGTCAGTTCATGATAAGAGTGAGTGATTATTTTTCTTATTCTTTTCATTATACCACAGCTACCTCTGAAATGCTCAATGAATATTTCCCCAAACTTCAGGCTTTGTGTACCTCTTTAGGTATTTCTGCCAATATCTATGTTGTCATTTTCTTTAAGTTGACTCACTTTTTACATTTATTAAAAAAGAAATATCAGTATTCTAAATGGAAAACTGACTCTTACCATAAATAGAATGTAGTGTTTTTAAAAACAACTACATAGCTTTTATTTATTTTTTTAACTTTCTTATTTTTCCTTTTTCTCCCAAAGCCACCCAGTACATAGTTGTGTATTCTTAGTTGTGGGTCCTTCTAGTTGTGGCATGTGGGATGCCACCTCAGTGTAGCTTGATGAGTGGTGCCATGTCTGCACCCAGGATCCAAACCAGCGAAATCCTGGGCCGTGGAAGCAGAGCACACGAACTTAACCACTCGGCCACAGGGCCAGTGGTTAGCTTTTAAATTTAAAAAAAGGTTTGTCACTATTTTCTGTCACCCAGATGATCCTTATCACCCACAAATGTCCCTGGGAAATGTCTACTCATGAGGTCAGGGATAGTGTCTCGATGGCCAATTATATTGTCTGACCTATAGCAAGTGCTTAACATTTGTGCATGAATAAATATGCTCAGCCTATGGAAAGGTCAGGAATGAGTGAAATAATTTCCTTTGTGTGAATAAGAATTACCTCTGCTGTTTGAATAAAATGCAGAGTCCTAAGCCCACCTCCAAAAAGCACGGTTCAAAGTGCTTGGGGTAGGGTTTGGGAACTTGCATTTTAATAACATTACAAGGGATTCTGATGCAAT